CGACGAAAACCGGGTTGAAAACGGACGGCAGACCGCGAAATAACGACACACAGCTATGAATAAAGTTACCAACAGACCTGCATAAAAAAGGCCATTCTTTAAGATGTTTTCGACAATGCACAGCCAACGAACATTCTTGGATGTCGCACTGTTTTCAATCAAAAGTAAGCATAGAAAGAGATCGAGGAGGGCAAGGGCGATCACCGCAACATCAGTTGGATTTTTATTTTTTCTCCGACTGATGACAAGTACAATGAGAATGTTACCTGGAATGCCGATTACACCGGCAAAGGAGGCGACCGCGATATTTATCAGTTGGAAAGCATTCATCCTGAATTGAGGCCGGGGTAGAAATAGGAGACTTGTGAATTCGTTTTGTTAAGAAATAGTTATATCAGAAACCAGTACTGTTAGAGACGAAACGTTTCACTCTTTCTTTCGAATTCGGTTAGACAAGATTCTTGTCAAATTTATCGCTTTTATCCCTGCCTATAGCGGCCCGCGTCTTTTTTTCAACCTAACCTTGCCATCCTCTCGCTGCATTTGATTGGCTCAATAGGAACCATACGTCATGCGCTAGTCATCAATATTAATGTAAATATTAAAGTATACAAAATATGATGCACAGGTTTGAGTGCGTCGGTAGGGATTGTGCACAAGGTACCTTTGAATGGTTTTAGACCAAATTCAAAGATACCACGTGCACACAATTCCACCGACCCACGAATTAAACCTGTGCATCATCTGTTTTATAAAATGGGGCCAAAAAAAAATCGTCAAAAATACAACAATCTGTTATTTTACAAATTTACCGGGTGCATGGCAAATCATCCTTTCCGGTAATTACCGGACGCATGATTTTGCCATAGCCATGCTTTCCGGTAATTACCGAAAAGCATAATTTCATGAAACTTATCATGAAATTAAAAAAAAAAAAAAAAAAAAATTGTCAGTGCACATTAAACTGTCAACTCTTTTTTTTTGGTTTTATTATAAAAAATAAAAAAAAATTATAGAAAAAAAAAAAGAATGACAAATTTATTAGAATTACCAAAAAACGACTATTTATTTATTTTTTTTTAAATTCAAAAATAATTATCAAAGACAAAAAAATAGGGATATCGGTGGCATCGATCCCCAAAATCGGGTGCATCCAATAAAAAAAACTACACAGTAATTGACCAATCAGATTGCAGGGATTCTTCTACCCATCTTATAAAATCCGATGCGATAATTTATTAAATAATGAGATTTCATACAAAAATTACAAGTGCAAAGCTATTTTTATTTTAATGAATGACATTGCGAGAAATTCGGGTGGATTACCGTTATGGTCATTATCCTGTGTATTGTGGGTTGTGTTTGGGAAAATGGAATTGTGAATCCAGAGGCAGCTAATCTGTACGCAATGTACTCCTGAAAATATTGCTAAATTGAGAAAAGCATTAATAGCAACTAATTGGAATGATGTTCTTTCAAATCAAAATGTTGAAAGCGCTTTTGAAAATTTCTTTAATAAATTCATGTTGTTGTATGATGAGAATGTCCCACTGGTTGACTACAAAAAGAAAAACTATAATGAATTTCCTCGTATGCCATGGATAACTAAATCAATATTAAAGTCTAGAAAAACAAGTTGTATTATCAATATGAAATGAGAAGCTCTGACTTTATGTTGGGAAAGTATTCTAATTATAAAAATACTCTTACCTCTGTATTACGTACTGCAAAGAAACAATATTTCAATTCAATTCAACTCTATCTCAATTGTTCAATTCAATTTATTCATGTTTCCAACAAAACATTACAAATCAATTATAAGCATTTAAAACAAATGTAAGAAATACATGTTGAGAACAGAGGGGTCCACTAAAAAGCAATGCTCGATTTAAAATGACTTTGAATAATTTTAAAAATACATGGAAAGTAATTAGAAGTATTTTTAAATCACCTTTAAAAACTTCAAATATTAAATGTATAGATGTAAATGGGTGATCCGTAGAAGATACAAAAATGATTGTGGATAAGTTTAACGAATATTTTTGTAATGTTGGGTTGAAACTTCAGGACTCTTTCACTAGATGAAAGAAGATCTTTTATTTTATGCAAGAACCGATTACAGGTAGCCTATTTTAGATGCCCACGAATGAAGCAGAACTGCTTTAACTTGTGAACTCGCTTTAAAGTAATAAAAGCCCTGGCTTTGATGGCATAAAAAATGAGTTAATTAATGATATCGTACATGGAATTGTGATACCGCTTGTCTACATTTTAAACTTATTTTTCTTATCTGGCATTGTACCAAAACGAATGAAAATTCCTATTAAAGGTATAGTGCCAATTTTTAAAAAGGGTGATCCTCAAACATTAAATAATTATAAACCCATTTCATTATTGACATTTTTTTTCAAAATTAAGATAGAACAGTATTAAACATTTTAAATAAGACCAAAATATTTTCAAAATTCCAGTTTGGTTTTCGTGAAAAACATACCACTACGGATGCCATCTTACATTTTATTGATAAAGTAGCTCAAGCGTTAGATAATCACCTTCACACAATCGGCATAATTACTCTTGGATTTCTCAAAGGCGTTTGATACTGTTGATCATGAATAGTGAATTTATAGTTGGTTCAGGAGCTATTGAACTGACAGGAAACAATATGTATCATTAAATGGAATTAACTCAAGTCATCAAACTATATCCTGTGGAGTCCCTCAGGGATCCTTTCTTGGCCCCCTCCTTGTTTTAAATTATATATTAATAATTTTTATTTTTTATTTGACGTCCTATATAATTCTTCTTTTTTTTTGCAGATGATTCAAGTGTATTTTTTCTGAAAATATCATGAAACTTTATTAGAAACAGTTAATAGTGAATTAAAGGAAGTTACTTTGTGGATCCGTGCAAATAAGTTGTATTTAAACCTTCAAAAGACAAACTATATGCTTTTTTTTAGTAATTCCCTAATATAAGAGACTTACCTGGAGTCGTACTTTTTGATGATGCTATTATTGTGAGGGTAACTTCCACCAAATTTCTTGGGTTACACATTGATGAGAAGCTGACTTGGGCATCACATTGTAGTAATATTTGTAAAGTTATGTCTAAAAGTACTGGTGTCATTTATAAATTACGTTCTTTTGTGCCACAAGAAATTGTGCTTATTTCATACTCTACTCTGATTTTGCCTTATCTCAATTATGGAGTTGGCATGGGGGAAGTCACTAAAAACGCAACGAAATATTAAGATACTTGTCGCTCAGAAAAAAGTGATTAGAATTGTTTTTAATGTTATCGTGCTCATACTAATGTTTTGTTTCATAGTAATAAACTATTAAAGGTAGAAGATATCTATCTCTTGCAGTTAGGCTCAATCATGTATGATTTTGAAAAGGGTATACTCTCCCAAATGCGTTAGTACAGCTAGAAAGAACAGTCAAATTCACAGTAATAATACAAGACAGGCAACTGCACTCCATTTACCGCGTGTAAGAACTGCCTTTGCTTTGAATACATTAGCTTGTACTGGTCCCAAATGTTGGAACTCACTCCCTATTTATTGATGTAACTCGCTCTATCAGTGTCTCTGTTTTTAAACGCAAACTGAAATTACATTTATTGAGTAATTATGCTGAAAATATTTAATGTAAAAACGATGTCATCACATATGAACTAGTATGTAATTTATTTTTTTCTTGCTTCATTGTCTCCCCCCCCCCCCCCCCCCCCCCCTCTTTTCCAGGCTGGCCCTTGCTTTACCTTACCAACATTTCTTCATTTATTAGCAAACTCGTTTGTTTTGCTCTATAATTGTGCTTTTTCTTTTCTCTCTCCCCCCCCCCCCCCCCCCCCCTCTCTTTCTCTCTCTCTCTCTCTCTCTTATATTTTTTCCCATCACCATTTCACCTATACTCAATTCAATTCAATTCAATTCAAAATTTATTGGTCCAAAAGGAAATTCGTTTCGTTTACATGCATTGTTCACAGAGAAAAATAAATAAAATGTACATGTAACATGATACATACAACATAAAACGAGAATAAACATATAGCACTTTAACATTCACATTATAGTTATTTTCTCAGAATTTACATTTTATTCAATATTTGTTTATGTATCCAGAGTAATTACCAAAACAATATAACATTGTAATTATTATTACTATTATCATTATCAATATTACTATTACTATTATTATTATTTGTATTTGTATGTGTATTGTTATTATTATTATTAGTTTGACTCATTATATCATTATGATGAGTCAAACTAATAATAATAATAACAATACAAATAATATACTTTCTTCCATCTCAACTTTTCTCTGTTGTTGTTTTGTTCTGTTTTGCACTTTCGCTCTCCATCCTATATCTTCCCATATTTTCCTTTTCATTATATACATATTCATATTATATTCATATTCATATTTATTTCATTTCCAACAGAAAGGTAAAAAAAAAAGTAAGGGGGTAAGAGTACCCTCTTTTTTTTTGGTCTCGAAATTTCAAAAAAAGCTTCTTCTTCTTCTTCTTCTTCTTCTTCTTCTTCTTCTTCTTCTTCTTTTTCTTCTTCTTCAAAAAATCCACAAAAGGGGGGGGGGGGGAGGTTGCTCTAAAATGAAATTCAAGGGGGGGGTTAACCCCCCCCCCCCCCCTGCGTACGCGTCTAGCTGTGTTGAACATTACTATTGCACTTCAAATTATGCTTCTCTTATTGATAATCTGCTGTTCCAGTTATATTTGAAATTCTATATACAAATGTTTGTGAAAGAAGAAATAAAATGAACTATAAATAGTTCATTGTATTTCTTCTTTCACAAACGTACATATGAAATATGAATGACTACCCAGGTCATATCCATAATCATTGCGACATTCTGGTTAAGTCCAGAATCTGGACGGATTCATTCTGCCTCTCCATCACACCGTACCAACGCAAATATTCATATATTCAAATATTAATATGCAGGGCAGCATGCATGGCAAGGTTATACGTTTAAAAAAGACGCTCCCCGCCCCCTCTCGATCTCTATATCAGGTGATCATCGAAGAATCGCGGTCACATGATCTCGTGTGTACATATTGATCGAGTGGGCCATGATCAGCCTAGAACTTTAGAACCATGACCATGAAGGCATGATGACCACGCTAATTTCTACTTATTCTAGAACCAACCTGTTAACAAATTAATCAACAATACCAATGCAGCAGATAGCAGCTGGAAGGCCTGAAGGACAAATTTCAATGGTAAGTCATGAACAACAAGTTTTGTCTTTCCAATATCAATGTACGTGATGACAATCATGAGTAGGGAGGCCAATGCCCGGGCGTAAGGCTTCTACACCTACGATGTGTGCGCTCGTCGTCCACTTCAAAAAATTAGCAGAAAGAAAAAAATGATGTAAAAATAAAAATTGATGAAAATAAAATACAATAATACATTTCAAAACATACCTATAATCACGGATCTGTAACGGTCTTTCACCATTTGTTGACGATCTTGCAGATTTTGACGTATTTGAATCCAACAAATCCACCACCGACTAGGAAAATCCTAGAGGGCGTAGAGGTTTGCTCACTAAAAACCTTCTCATTGGCAGAAGGTAGACCCTAAAAATATGGGATCCGTTTTGAGTAAAGAACTTTTGATAGAGATCAACATTTCAGATGTTCACAATTGCCACTTCTAACAACTAGAAAATATAAAGAAAAAAGATTATATCTTTTTAAATACAGATTTTTCCAAACTGAACATTCGAAGGTAGATAGAATACGATGTTTCTGTCAATCTTGTGTTGGTTTGAGCCCTATAGCTACATCCATCTCAAAATGAGAAGGAAAACTGTGAACAGTGACGTCATTGTTCGCGCCAAAAAAAAAGGGTAGAGAGTCTATTGCGACATGTCTGAGCTCCGGTCAGATCGTGCTCCAAGCGTAGTCTTACTTATAGTACCTTATTCTCACAGCACTAGATACGAGTGTCGTGCAGTAATGTATAAGAAGTGTTAAAAAAGATATTTCAGTACAAAAAAAAGTCTACGTGAGCAGTCTATACTCCAATTGAGAATTGGAATGAAAGCCATGATTTGAAGGTGTGTGTTTTGTGTATGATACATGGTTAGTGAGTACCGTACATGACGTATAGGATCTATAGCGAGAGAGAGAGAGAAATAATATAGTACACGTCTGCGAACGTACGTTGCATGCTGATTCCGTATTGTGTTCGCTGCAAGATGGATGTTAATTGGACCTCGTAACTTCTCGATCGTTGATAATGCAGTGTCAGATTGATCTTTACTCATGAGGAAATAATATTGGATTTGGAATACCACCTTAAAGGTACTATGTCCCTTTTGCAGCCAACCTCATATGCTGTAGAACTTTGCAGGAATTATGAATATGTCATGTATGTCCTATCTGTGAAATTTAAACGTTAGCAGTGTCCTCATATTCAAATTATGCAAGGAAACCCATTTACTTGCTAGACTTCACTGTCAGACACTATTGAGTGACTGACTGGCTTTTTTTCTTCTTTGGTAATAGCATACATGAGAAGAGTTCTAAAGGGTACATGAGCATTTGTCTACATCAATAACCCACTTCTTGTGATGGCCAAGAATAAACTGATTGAATCTTTGCGCAGCTTAAAACGTATGACCATTCGGTACAATGGTCTGAAAATCAAGACTATTAATTTTGGGCTCTGACAACTAATAGTCGTTACTTTCCCACTTGAATATACCTTACCTTGAATATACCTTGAAGTCCACACCTCGCCATCGTGGTGATAAAGATCCCGTAGATAGTGTGGTGTGGCAGGGTTAAGAGACATTTTCAAGCCCAACCTTTTTTAGGGAAGTTCTAAATTAGTATTATCTTTCAAATGCAGTTGGAATTTAACTTTTTCATTTTTTTTGGCCTGCAAATGGGACATAGTACCTTTAAGGTAGGCCTAATTATTAATTTTAATTCTTTTCTAGGATTATATTGACTACAATCATGTAGATCTACGTTTATTTTTTCTGTCCGTTCATGTTTTGTCCCTCCATGGCTCGATTTCAGGACTGCGGCTTGCAATGCAATCACCAAGCTGTGTCGGTGTGTGCGACCGATTCAAGGCTAGCCGCTGATGATGAATGGAATTTTCGCGCGAAGTTTTGAACTTGTTGTCCGGGCAATGACACGCCCCATCCCCTCGGGCCTGTCTAATTATGAATGTAATTTTGCGACATGAAATATAATTGTTTCAAGGCTCTTACGTACGGATAGGATAGGCGTAGAAGGAAGGGTCTACAAAAGAGCTGGATATCTCCTATTTGATGGAACTTCTGGAGTCGGCAGATGGGTGAAATTTCTTAGTGAAAGAAAATACTTTCTTTTAATCTTTGTTTTATTATAAACAAATTACATGTAGTAATTAAAAAGTTAGATTTTGGCATTGGCCTCCCTATCATGAGACAGTCGATATGACTATGTGGCCTTTATATGGTAGTCTACTCTCTTTATACCCTAGTAGTTATTATTATCGGACCTATTGGAAGAATGCAATCATTCCTTCCTGCAATATAGTTTCCAGGTCTACATTGTTTTGTTTGTTGCCATCTCAATTTTGTTCTAGTAGATCTAATTTCTATTCTACTCTAGGCCTACTCTTGTCTATTAAACACTAGCAGATGATTTATAGAAATAGAATCAATGAAAAACATTTACTGGTACCGAGTGTTAGACCCCGTTGCCATGCATTGTATTTGTAGGACTAGGAGCCCGCCCACCCCCCCCCCCCCCCCCCCCCCCCACTCCGTGAACGGAGGGATACCATGCATGTTCCAAAACTCTCCGGCTCATAACAAAAGAAAAAGGTCGACCCGTATTGACTTTACACACCGGACTTTTGCTGAAAAGGGGGGTCGCCTGGAACACGCATATGCGTACCCTAAATAACACTGAGTGGGGGGGGGGGCGGGACTAGGAGTGGAAAGCCTCTGGAAACCATAATATTTTTGTTCTGCTTTTTTAAGTTTCAGGAGTTTCATGTCTGCATAGATCATCAAGTCTACGTGTTATCAAATAATTCCCTCCCCAAATCTGAAGGCAAGAGGAAATGTGTATATAGTAGGCCGACTCCTAGCTAGTAGCAGCCTAAATTTTAAAGAAAAAGGGATAGAAAATGTTTGACTTCACTGTTCAGTAACTTCAGGCTTCGTTGTACTCTTAAGCTGGGAAATAACAATAGACTTTAGACAAGACCTCGGTACATGCGAGCCAGCTATGCGTCTTTAACTGTTGACACTGTTCGGAAGGAAAAGTTGAAGGAGAAGAAAAATAAGAAGATTATTAAAGGAGATCAAAGGATCCCTAAAACTCTGTTGTGATTTTTGAAAATGTCTTGTCATGTACATACAAAATAGACAAATTTCCTTTCATGAGGTATTTAAATATCAAGTTTCATCATTAAACTGAGTGAGCTCTAGCAAACTTTTAGCAAAGTTTCAGATGAACTGTTTAAAGGTAAAGACCAGTTTTGGAAATGCCCCCCTCTCAAATAATGAAATGGAAGCTTTCATGTGAAAGAATATGTTTTGACTAATATGTGATGATACAAATTTTGCCGAGAAACAGCCTACTAATTGATATATTTGGTAAATTATTATATCTATTTGGACCTGATAGATATCGCGCACGTGTCGCATAGTCCCATGTACATCTGTCTGTGTACAGTGCTTAATTGTAACATAATTTACCAAGACTGGGCCAAATTTCTTATCAGAGTGATGATTCCAGAACCTTGCAGTACACACCAATACTTGTATGCTGGATGATCAACCGTTTCTGATCGATTCCACAACGTTTCTTGCACAATGCAATCGCATATAACTGGTCTTTATCTTTAATATAAACCATTTGCAAATAATTATACAACCTTAATTATATTTCTTAGAAGAATTATTTGTGTTTTAATAAACCAGAGGAATCAATTATTGATAATTGAACGTCAGTAATTTCACAATGTAGATCCACATTTCATTTTTTGTTTTTGTTTTACTTATTAGGGAAAGATGCTTCTCTGAAAATAGTCCACAACCCAATCAGCTCAAACATCTTTTTAAAATCAGTGACTTTAACTATCGTGCTGAGCCACGCTGTGATCAACCATTTATAGACAGTCACATATGCATGGATGGGTCCATCTGACAAGAACAGGAATCTGCATAACATTTCTTAATTATTACTGTTTTAAATGTATTCTTAACCTCCAGGTCTAATACAACACAATTCTACTATGATACGTTTAGTCTGCAACAAGCGGTTCTTCGAGCCACGCTCATCATGTAGTAAAAAAATGGGTATACACACCCTTTTCATCGTTACCTCATTATGTATTCAAGTGACATCTGGGTTCATGACCCCTGACATGATACTGAAGATGGCCACTGCAGGACGCCCTCCCATGACGCCCCATGTCCAGGGTGAAGTATCTAGCAAGTGTGAGGCTGACCTAGCTGACCTCATGGCATCAGAGACCAGTGAACTGATTCAGGGTGAGCAAGTTGATATGAATTCTTCCTCTTCCTCTTCCTCTTCCTCTTCCTCTTCCTCTTCCTCTTCCTCTTCCTCTTCCATTTCCTCTTCCATTTCCTCTTCCTCTTCCTCTTCTTCTTCCTCTTCCTCTTCCTCTTCCTCTTCCTCTTCCTCTTCCATTTCCTCTTCCATTTCCTCTTCCTCTTCCTCTTCCTCTTCCTCTTCCTCTTCCTCTTCCTCTTCCTCTTCCATTTCCTCTTCCATTTCTTCTTCTTCTTCTTCTTCTTCTTCTTCTTCTTCTTCTCCTTCTTCTTCTTCTTCTTCTTCTTCTTCTTCTTCTTCTTCTTCTTCTTCTTCAAATAATTGAAAGAAGATAATGATGATATTGATCAGTTTCAGTTTGCCCCAAACCTGCAACAAATAAATTGATATGATCTGGTTTAAGGTATCCTTGTTTGTATTTTGTGTGGTGATAGAATTATTCTGTAAAATTGTATAATTCTTCTGGATAATCTGCCTCCTTCAATACCGAAGATTCTTGCAGATGTATATACTGTGGTGTGCAGGTGGACCACTACACCAGGGTTTCCCCAAATTTGAGAATTGGTGGTAGATATAGCAGCTAGTGGTCCTGTAACTGGGAGGTTTAGGCTTTGAAACTGAGTGCTTCTTCAGTTACCTAGCCCAATGAGATGAATTGATGTCCATGCACTTTTTCCTTATCTTCATAAACCGCAACAAGGCAGATATATGATCTGACATCTCATGCAAGAATCAGACTTAATGTCTGCTACATCTAATTTGAAATAATTTGCTCTCAAAATTTTTTAATTTCCTCTCAATATTAAAAAAAGAATCTAATATTGACACAGTGCATACTACATTTTTTTATCAGAATAAAATATATGATCTAGATACATGTATTCCAATTAAGGCTGACTTTTATTGATATTTTTCTTGCAGTTGTTGACTCTTTTGGGAAGCCCGAGTCGGGTCTTCTGGCCGGTAATGCAGTATGGATGGGCCACTATGATGAATGCATGAGCATCTCAGATTTTAATTTCTGCATGTCATACCTACAGCTTACATTACCACAGAATAGTTCTAGTGTTCCAAGTCCTACAGGTGTAAGTATTTTAAAATTAATATATAACTTTTATTTTCATCTCCTTCGCCCTTGCCAATGTTTTCATGTACAGCTGTTTTCACGGATGATATAGATACATGACATTTTGTTGGATGTTGTTTTCAGGATGATTAAAATTACAGGCTTCTTACACTACATGTGTGCACTTGCATTGCCAGATCTTACATGCATGTGTTTGAATTCTCAACTTGGCAATAATTTGTAAAATATAACCCTTGTAGAAATATTTGCATAAACAGTTTTTCATTTTCTTGATGTTGGTTTATTTGTGGTATGATGATCTTTTTTCTTCTTTTTTTCACAAAAGTCAGTAAATAACCAACCAGCACAGATGAAAGTTCAGAGAACAGCTTCTGTTTGTGATATAAACCATTAATGAATACATGCTGACACAGATTCCAGAATACAGCCAACCAAATGCTAGATACCTGACTTTAAAAATTGGCCTTTGACCACTTCATATGACAAGATTTGTCTTGCCACTGATTACATTATCATGCAGTTAACTTGATAGTGACATCATCAGCAAGTTCTCTTACAAAACGGCTCAGTTTTATGGAATAACCTTCCCTCATTTGTAATGGGCCATTTATGTACCTTTCATGATCCTCCTACTTCAGTATGTCATTATATATGTTTCTATTTTGAATATTATATATCATTGTTTTAATCTGACATGGAAATAGATAAATGAAATGAAAATATAGTTATCTTTGCTCTCTCATTTCAGAAAACTCAGTTGATGTGGGGAGTGTGTGTACCACAATCTTGCTCAGACTACGACATACTGTATGCTCTACAAGACTTACTGAGTAAGATCATTTTCATTTTATTTCCAAACTCTTAGTTTCTATCAAAGCAGTTCCTTTTTTAAAGTTGCAAAGTGTTGCGATCAAAGATCAAAATTCATGATCTCCAATATTCCTTCCATAGCACAACTGTCTCTCTCAATACTTTCACTTTTTGCTTTTTATTACACTGTAATGACTATTTTGACCGAACTCTATTAATGATATACATGTATAACTAACTACTGGTAAGTCTTTTAGGCTTGCACCATACAAGTATTGCTTCTTTAGCATGGACTTCAGTCTTATTGTATACGTTTAGGTCAACAATGCTACGTCATTATTTTCAGTTCTTGGGTATTTCTATTTTGTCTTTAATACAATATTTTTAGATTCTTATTACCTGTTAATGTTACTATAGAATTTATATACTTTGTACATGTTAAAATTTGTTCAACAGAACTAATCTATCGATCTCATCTATCACTCTTTATGATCAAACAATTAGTATTAGCATTAGTGTTAGTAAAAAATATATGCATTAGTATTAGTAATTGTATCAGTATTATCATATTTTTATTATCAATATTATTATTAATGTACAATGTATACAAATACAGAGTTATATTACTACTATACTACTACTACTACATGTAGGCCTACTTCTTTTCTTACACTGCTACTTTTAATCAAGGAGAGGAAAGTATTCAGTTATTTCTTGACATTGTGACCGTGACCTTGTTGATATTTTAAAGCTTTGGTGGAAGCTCCTTTCAACATTACAGCCGTCAATGCTTCTTCGGTCGTCTGTGCTCAAGATCCCCCTGCTCCGTACAACAGTATCGGTTTTATTGTTACAATGTGAGTTCAAATCTTATTTTGTCTCTATTGATTTTTTTGTGGTTTCTTGTGTCTTCTCCGTAAAAAAAGCAGAATCTCTTTTCTTCACCCTAAAACTTGGGGAATTCAATTTGATTATATATCTTTTCTTCTGTATTTGGCCATATGAATATAAACAATTTTTGGTAACATAACAAACAAATAATACTAATAAGTACTTTCTAACAATGGATCATAAATCAGCAAATATACAGAACTTTTATTATAGAAAAATCATTAAAATATAAATTGTCAAAGTACATGTATCGTATTTCATCAATATTTGGGAAATTATCTGCGGAAGAACTGCCATTGTAAGTGAAATGCTTGAAAATATGACAGCCCAAAACAAATCTTGTGATATAGATGTTAAAATGTATTAAGCAGAACAGACAAATAATTGAAAACATATGTAAATATAAGGATAATGAAGATGTTAATCAGTTTCAGTTTGTCCCAAACCTGTAACAAATAAATTGATTTGATTTGATTTAGGGTATCCTTGTTTGTATTTTGTGCGGTGATAGAATTATTGGGTAAAATTGTATACTTCCTCTTATGGAGAATCTACCTCCTTCAATTCTGAAGATTCTTGCAGATGTATATACTGGGGTGTGCAGGTGGACCACTACACCGGGGTTTCCCCCTTCTCTTTTACGAATAGTGCAGTGCGTTCTTTAACGTGCAAAGGTGGTGACTCTCCTCTACACGGGGCCTCCATTTAACGTCCTATCCGAGGGACGGAGTGTTTTCCACTTAACATAGCCTTCATCAATGAAGGGAAGGGGCACGTTAACGCAGTCTTCAGTCATCCGCCTGGGTGGGATTCAAACCAGAGATCTTTGGTTCGACAAGCAGACGCTTAACCAACTGAGCCAACTCACCTCCTCACTGATGATAATCTAAAATTATGGATTCTATTTCAATATATTGATTTGATTTTATTTGTAAAGGTATAAAATGGTATCCTTCTATGTATCTATATAGGGCGATTATTGGATTATTAGCAAGTTTGATGCTCCTAGGGGCTTTCCTAGACACCACCCTGCGTTCAGTAAACTACAAGGCCCCGCCCAGCACCCACAAGCTGGTCATCAACAGGACATCAGACCCTTACCCCTACCAGAGAGTGAGAAGCCCCTCTGGAGGTGATGATAGGGGTGCGATGGAGGAGGAGGACCAAGGGGCGCAAGACCTGGAGGAAGTCCCGACAGGTGAATTTTGAACGATATGATAATGATAATACCTCGACTACTATATAGTAACAATAATGAGTAATAATAATAGTAATATTCATGCATACTTGCCAACCATTAGGAATAATCTGTAGTAGATTTTTTTTTTTTGGAGGGGGGGGGGGGCGCTAAAGCGATTTGAGAGTTTACGTATTGTGTGCGTTGAATGGCTGCATGATCGGGAGCAAATTTGTATTCGCTTTTTGGTACAGATGTACTGCGTATTGCCAGTTAGGCTGCCGCACTGCAAGTGCAAATTCTTTTTTTTAAAGGCATACCGTGCTAAAAATTCCTAATTCTTATTTTCAAATGTTTGCAGGTGTGAATCATGATGGTAATATTAAAATTGAAAATAATAATATTATTGATAATAACTATACTGTACGATGTATCCATCCCAGGGGATGGTCAAGGTGTCTACAAACTACTTTTAATAACTGGCTTAGCCCAGCTTCAAGGAATAATTTCCTACCAGGTACCCTTTTACGATACACCTGTGTGGAGAGTGGCAAATTTAGATTAATGTCTTGCTAAAGGACATTAGTGCCGTGATACACCTGTGTGGAGAGTGGCAAATTTAGATTAATGTCTTGCTAAAGGACATTAGTGCCGTGGCAAAAATTCAAACCCTGTACCTTGTGATCCACAGTCTGGTGATGTAGACTACAGCACCTTACAAGTTCATGAACATGTACAGGTGTATGTATTCTGTAGTATTGACAATGCATTATGATATACTCGAGTGTGTTTTCTTATTCTATTCTATACCAGCTTGCACCAGGGCATGGCAACAGTTCCTGCTCTGCTTTGCTGTTAATCGCAACCTCACAAAACTGCTGTCTTCTAAGACCAGTGAGGGCGGTATAGGCTGTCTGAACGGCATTCGGGTCATCAGTATGACCTGGGTCATCCTTGGTCATGTGCCACTCTTTATTCTTATGGCAGGAGTTGTGGGTAAGCAAGCTAATTAACTGTTAAATCAATGTTCCTGTGGACGAAATATGATTGTGGCGTAACATGCATTTTCCTGGGATTCCAGCCTACTTTGTCTTGGGCTTGATATTTAAGAAGTTAAAGCCTATCTTCACTAGTTTGGACAGGAGGGATTAGACCTTCCTGCATGGTCACTGACAGGTGGTTATCTCATCAAATCAGCTCTCACTTAACTTAAAAGAGGATCATGGGGTACCAATGGTCACAGATTAGGCATTGTTTGCTATATAGAGAGCGCAAGTAGCTATAAGTTGTGCAGTGGGGCTTTAAATGATGATTAAGCTCTGCTTGTGTTATGGTCTTTGATATTAAATGTATAGTCTGATGACATATAACCTACATGTTTTCATTTTTTTCTTTTTTTTCTTTCATTTTTTTGCAGGGAATCCATCAGTTGCCTTGGATTTCATTGGTCGATTTGGGTTCCAAGCAGTGGCCAATGCATTTTTCTCAGTTGATTCATTTTTCTTTCTCAGGTAAGAATGCATGTTTAAACAAAATGAAAAATGACTGCATTAATCGGTCTAAAAAGGGAATCTTTCTTTGGTGTTCGCATCACTGATTGGGGGAGAGGGGGGCGGGGGCCACCAGTACTGTCAAACAATTATGAAATAACAAGTGGTTAAAGCATTTTGCATTGAAGAGATCCATTGTCACTAATTACATTGTAACTATTCAAATATTCACATCTAATGACAAGGGTGCATTTTGTGTGATGTCTGCCAGTATATACATTATATGTTTGTTTTAGGGGCATTTAGCGAGGAAGTTTTTGACACCACACAGTAACCAGTTTTTTTCTTTTTAATGAAATGATGCAGAAGACTTACATCATAGAATCTTGAAAGCCAGGGGTCTGACAAATTCCATGAACACTTATAGCAAATGTACAGTTGGAGACACATTTAATATTTGAAATTCTGAATTACACAAGATTGTTTGCACTATTTTTTCATGTTCATGTAATATATGTTTTGAATGTACTGCATTTACAGTGGCTTGTTGGTTGCTTATATGGCTCTGGGTAAAATGGCAAAGACGGGAGGGAAGCTTCCTTGGTTCTGGTTTTATTTCCATCGATACTGGAGGTAAGGATTTGTATTATGTAAATGAATTTTTACACTACTACATTTAGTATTGGAATGATAGTTGGAGTAATAGCACAGGTCGTTATAGTAGAAGTTATAGAAGTCGTATAAGTTGTAGCTCTAACATCTTTTAGAAAGACATTAATCTACATGTAGATTGGCCAGTCTCAAATTTGGTTAGGTAAATGGGTACTTGGCCGGAAATAATTCCTTGATTGCTTCCAGCAAAACATCTAATGCTAGCTCGGCTCGAGCTAATAATGCAAGCACCATAAGTGCCACAGCATAACAGATTAAAGTGCTGTATAAGAAGCCATTGTTTGTATTATTATCATCATCTTCATCATCATTATCATTATTAGTATCTTTATCATTATTATTATTATTATCATCATCATCATCATCACCAACATCATTATCATTACGGTATTATCTTTGCCATCATTATCACTATTATTATCTTTATTATTATTATGTTCATCATCATCAGTATTATCATTAGTATTATTATTAATTTTTCGGCATAGCTAAACACAATTCCTTAGAAAAAATATGTGTAGTGCCCTGTAGCTGTGCTAACTAAAAGCATTATTTTTTTTATCCTCATTGTGTTTAATTCTGCCCATCAGACTAACCCCAGCGCTAGGTATGACCATGTTGATCTGGCTCCATCTGAAACCCTACCTTGGTTCAGGACCTATCTGGCAGGCTACGGTCTCGGATCCGTACTGCTCCAAGTACTGGTGGGTCAACCTGCTTTACATCAATAACTTCTACCAAGATAATGTAAGTATAACCTTCTATATCATGATTGGAATTTGTAGGTTTATTTGCACTTTTTTGTTTTGTTTAATATGTAATTGTTTATCAGTCTATTTTGTTTGTCATAGCACTTAGAGACCTCGGTGGTATTAAGCGCTTTATATAAGCAACGTTTTTATTATTAATATTATTATTATCCCATTTTATTTCCGCCCATTTTTATTTTGCCCTTTACATTATTCTATGAAAAAAGTAACGTGGACTTAATTTGCAATTCCATTTGTTGTTTTTTGAACAGTAAAGGTGATATTGGAGAAAAAAAGTCACTGACGACTTACCAATAATTCTCTCATTGCTATATACACTTCAAACCTTCTTACAACTTTGCTTACACATGTTACAAAGCAAACGTTATAGGCTAGCGATTAGCAGTTAGATTTGTATATATTACAGTCAAACCTGTCTATAGTGACCGCCCAAGGGAAACACAAAAAGTGGCCTTTGTAGACAGGCGGTCTTTGTACACAGATTCTTTTAGTACATGATTCAATGAGAAACCATTTTCAAGGGAAACAACAAATGTGGCCTTTGTAGACAGGTGGTCTTTGTAGACAGGTTCTTTTAGTACATGAGCAATGAGAAACCATTTTCAAGGGAAACAACAAATGTGGCCTTTGTAGACAGGTGGTCACTAAAGCAGGTTTGACTGTACCTGACCAATGGATTATACATGTACTTCTCTTTTGATTTGTTTCAGTGTATTGCTTGGGTATGGTATCTAGCTAATGATATGCAGTTTTTTATCATCAGCCCTTTTCTGCTCATCATGCTACACAAGTAAGTTACAATTTACATTTATTCTCTCCCCTCATATCTCTTTTTTCTTTCTATCTGGTTTCATATCTTTGTATACACTGTATGCCCTATTTCCTCTTTTTTCTCGTCTATCCTTCCCCTCCCCTGTGTCTGTCTCTCGTTATTATTCTTCTGCCTCTTCTTCTACTACATTTGCTTCTGCTGCTACTACTAGAGTCTACTACTACTACTACATTTCCTAAATCTTCTACGCCCCCTCTTTATCTCTCTCTCTCTCTCTCACTCTACTCTTCTCTTTTTTTTTTCTCTCACTAATTCATATGATCTTGATAAACATAATGACAAATGAAAACTGTATATAAATGCATGTGCAGTACATAGATTCTAAAACATGAAGACAGTTAATATAGCTATTGTACTATAGCTACATAAATGAATATATATTTAAATATATATGTATACAATATTGTAAAAATATTTGTTCCCTACTGTTGTTTTATCATTACAGACTACCATTGCTTGGACTGCTTAGTATGCTAGTAATTTGTGTGGTCAGCTCCATTACTACTGGTGTACTCATGGCTAAACACAACTTCTCTGTTGTTTTTGTGTAAGTATATCGAGTGAAAGGTTATATACACAGTTTTGGTCTGGGCCATTGATTTGGGGTATAAGTCAATATTTATTAATTTGAAAATGTGAAGTTGATAGTGAATATGTTGTATATAACAGGGGTTTCCATCTTCATCAAATTTGCCCTGATTTGTTTTCTTTTTTCTGATGGATTTTAATAATTCTATAATTATTTCAACCTGTATCCAGTTTGAAATGGTCATGCTTTTTGCACACCGGACAAAATAGAAGAGAACGTCTTCTTTTCTTTCAGCCACTCAAATTTCTTGAATTTCCCATGATTTTTCCCTGATGTGAGTGAGATTCTCACATTTTTCTCATTTCCAATTTCACTATGTCCTCAATTCACTAGTAACTACAAGCAAACTAAAGTGATTTTATATTCTCCATGTGCTTATGATGTTTATTTGAAATACCAATATGTTATTATAATTATTGTTTTTCTTGGAAACAGAACTAACAATGTATAAGGCAGTATGTGAAAAATCAAAATGAAAAAATGAAAATGAAAATGAAAGAAAAAAATTACCTTGATTTATAAGATACACGTTTCTAGGAACCCTGATTTTATTGTTATTATTTTCTCTTTTTTTGTATTTTCACAGGGATGTGTCTAATCCAAATCCACCTGCAGATATAAATCAAACCTTTCAGGAAGTGATCTATGACAAGCCCTACTGCCGCATCGCACCTTACATGGTTGGCATGGCAATGGGATACCTTCTTCTTCGACTCAAGAAACAGAGTTTCAAATTGCATCCGGTATGATAACTTTTCTATAACTTAATTATAGTACTGTATCGCCTTTAATTATTATTTGCTGGAAAGCATCATTACTGTACTATGTGAGGCACTAAACCACTGGCGTACTGTAAAACATGGTTTAATTCTAATTCGATACCAAAGATTTACAAAATGTTGCTGAAATGACACAATTTTTCCAGGATTTTACTCACTTTTTGTAAATTATACTTTTTATGCCTTTGATGGATAAAAAGTGACAAATTCCCAAATTTACAGTCAGGCAAAACTGCTTATTTAGAAGCCTACATGTCAGGGTCCGCAGAATGCCCCCCCCCCCCCCCCCCCCACTTTAAAAAAAATGTTTAAGAGATAAAGAAAGAAAGAAAGAATAGTGACCTACCAGTGTTACAAATGAGGTATCAAAATATGCTCATATGACCATAATTAAATGCCTAAAACCCTGAGCTTCCAAGCAGGATAGCACAACTAAAACATAACAATGTGCAGGGGAAGAAATTGATTCAGATATAGATTTATTAGTTACCAGTAGGTACATTAAATCTCACAAATGCCAAGCAATACAAATAGTTAAAGAAGCCTGACTCAGAAATAATTGACCTACCGGGTAAAGAGATAAAGAAAATAGCTGCAATAAGTTTGAAATTACACGTATATGGTAAACTGTATATGAAGATATGTGAAATTTGGTGGAATGATCGATTATTTTGGCAACATAAAACCAACGTTACATAACTGAAGGTCAAGTGGAAAATTGAACTACAGTATTCTTTAACCCGTACTAATAAGAAATAAAAAACAATAAAATACAAAAGAAAATAAATATTTGAAAATCACATCAAATTTGCATAAATTATCATTATTAATTACATCAAAATAACTATTTTGTGTTAGAAAAGAAGTTTCATATGAATAAAGAGTTTCAATTAACATTCAAAAAGTGGAGTTTGACAATTTTTGTAATGATTCTAGTTCCCTGTATATTTCCAGATTTGATATTCATGAATTGCGTATACATCATTTTTTGCAAATTAACCTATGCATTTTCAAATATCATAAAAATAATGTAACCTCGTGAATTTGAGATGAAGGAAACATTTATTCAATACATTTTCAAGATTCTTCACAAGTCTACAGACAAATATGTAGTTTTCTGTAAAATGCATAAAGTTAGCATTTTGCATAGGGAATTAATTAGGCTATAACGACAAAAATTTACATATTAGGAAACAACTAATTATACCATCTTGTTCCTTACGTAAATATCTACAAACATGCAAATTTTTGTGTTCATCAGACTTTCGACGGCCGAGATCATCGACGGCCAGTCACGAGGTGCTCAAAATAGCCCAGTACAGTAAGGGTTAATAGTTAATTTCTGAAAAGAATTTTTTTGGTGGTCTCTCCAACACTTGTAAATTACTCTTTTTTGTTTGTTCATTTTTTTAATAATCATTTCCTTGTGTCTCCTCTTGTTTTCGTTATAGTCTGTTGTGATTATAGGATGGTGTGCGGCTACAGCCATCGGAATGGCGTGTGTGTATGGGCTGTATGGAGGTTACAACAACCACCCACTGAGTCCAACGGAGAACGCAGTCTACATGGCTCTGTGTCGGTTCGCTTGGGCCATCAGTCTCTCTTGGGTTGTGTTTGCCTGTCACTATGGATACGGAGGTGAGTTTCAAATCTATGATCCAAGGACCAGAGTTAAAAGGGCTTTTCTTTAAATTGGCAACATGAATGTTTAAAGGGATCGTTTAACAATGATAAATCTGAGATACATGCCCCTACTTGTTATCAGTGTCTGATATGGTGTAATATTAAAGCCCTAAAAAAAATTGCACTTCAAAATGATCCAGAAGTGCCTCAAACAAGTAAAAATCTGTGAGTGACCGGTTTTACCATACTCATTTTTCCCAATAGACTAGTAGTGTTATAAAAACCGTGAGGAAAACGCAAAATTTGATTTCTATTTCCAATCATAACTATCTTGATAATCAGACAGGCGATCGGCTTGTAAAAGTCATGGGGTTCCTGACTGACCTTATAAGGTTTACAATTATGATTGCAGCATGAGCTAAATCCATGGTTTTGTTTCAGAATCTGAGAGAAAGATACCCAATCCCTTTAAGCAATGAGTGAATTAATAAGTGTATCAAAATTTCTAAAGAGAGGTTATTTTGTTATTGAACGTGTATTGCTATCTGGAAGGCTATACGTACAATTTTATTTTCCTTGTAATATTCAATGCAACAAACCACATTTCATACTTCAGGAGGAAGTGGAGATTTTTTGTCTTTGTACGTGCTATGAATTCTACCTTGAGTTCATGCCACAATGTTATTTAGAAAAAGTAAACAAATATCCACATATTATGGGAATTTTAAAGGTCGTCTGTACTAGTTTGGACAGGAGGGATTAGAGCACCCAGGGTGGTCACTGACAGATTGCTATCTCATCAACTCGGCTCTCAATTAACATAAGAAAAAGAGGATCATGGGGGACCAATCGTTACCTCTTAGGCATTGTTTTTTATATAGAGGGAGCAAGTAGCTACAAGTAGTACAGTGCATTGGCTAATGTACACCGTCTAATTCTCTTATGCTATTTAGGTTGGATCAACGACTTCCTGAGTTGGGAGCTGTGGATACCAATGAGCCGTCTGACCTATTCTGCATATCTTCTACATCCTATCATTATTACGATCTACATCAGCAACTTTGCTACCAACTACTTCTTCTCCATCTATATGCTTGTAAGTTACTCAGCGTTAAGCCTTGTTCAGATATGCAGTGGTAAAAACCACATCTTTTTTTTCTTCTTCTTTTTTAAATTTTTGTTATAATGACATGTATACAAGTGTAATATGTACTTTCACATTGAATATGTGACATGTATTAAAGCCTGTCTGCACTAGTTTGGCCAGGGGGTATTAGACCTCCCTGCAAGGTCACTGACAGGGGGTTATCTCATCAAAACAGCTCTCAAGTAACAGAAGAAAAAGGGGATCATGGGGGACCAACAGGCACTGATTGTTTGCTATAGAGGGCGCAAAGTAGCTATAAGTAGTGCAGTGGGGCTTTAAAGCTTCATTCAATGGGCTAAAACTGAGAGCTTTAACGAAATACTATATTATAAGCCCATTCATCGATCTGATTCAGGCTTGCGTGCACACAGACAATGTATGCACCTTCTCCACTCCCAGGGGAGCATTCCAACCAGGCACCGCCATCTTACAGACACTCGACATTCAAAAGCTGAGCAAACTAATGTACTTTCGCATCTTACCAGATACATTTTAACAGCTTGATAAAAAGAATGTAGATAAAAATGCCTTGCTTATAAGGACAAATGCTGTACCGGGGATCAGACTCATAAGTACATGTATTTGCATCTCTAATCAAGCTAGTGTTGAACCACTCCACTATATATCGAGGGTTCAGTGACACAAAGACGTATTTCCATATTTTGCAAAAATGAGTATTTGATATCAGAATGTGGACTTTCCAGGAAACACAAAGACTTAACTCCACCCAACACCCCTATTGAAATCAAGGGCTAGTGAAACATAGACTTAACTCCTTAAGGCCAAGTGCTCAGTGACACATAAACCACTTTTTCTAAAAAAAATGGCCAAAATGGAGTTACGTCTTTGTGTCACCGACCCCTGGATATATGGCACCTCTATAATGAAATAACTGTTCAAGGATGGTAGTACAAGTATGTAAAGTTGCTAGAGTGTCGGGATGCTCACAAAATATGTCCCATGGATATTAAATATGTTATTTGTTTTGTCTTGCAGGCATTTGAGGTTGCAGCCATCATTACTCTGGCCTACACTGCTGCGATCCTACTGGCAGTATCCATAGAGTTTCCTTTTGGAAACCTGGAAAAAATGTTGGTGCCCTCGCCGGATAAGAAGACTAAATAGCAGCTGTATAAACAATGTAACGTGATTGGGTTTTAATTGTGTATTACTTACAAGTACTTGTAAGAAGAGAAAATGACAGAAAGAAAAGTGGCGAATCCAGGGGGCATCCAGGATACATACATTCCCCCCCCCCCCCCAAAAAAAAAAGAGGGAAAAGAAGAGTAAAAAAAATGGGCTGATTGATGACCCCTCTCGTCAGAGAATGCTGTAGCAAAAATGGGCCTACCAAAATCCTGATAACCTTTTTATTTTTGTTGCATGTCACCAGGTTTTCTGACTTATACCCCCCCCCCCCCCCCCCCCCTCTCCGCATAACAATCCTAGGTCTGCCACAGGAGCAAGAAAAGTAAAGGGAAAAAAAAGGGTAATCTATGATTTTAAGACAAAGAGATTATTTTTATTTATTTTCATAATTGAATCACTACTAGTGCACTTGGATCTAGTGGTCAAATGTTCTGAATGTATTGGAGTAAAGAGGATCTAAGTACATATCATTTCAACAGTCTGGGGATAGCAATAAAATTACATTATTATATTATATTATTATGGTATGAACTTTTTCAGGCTTAAAATGTCCTTTATAATGTAGTCTTTTCTTTTCATTATCATTATCATGTAATTTGTATTTTTTATGATATCCTTAAATCGCAAATAGCTGCTCTAGGTGAAAGCTTCTTTCTTTATAATTGTTGGTTTGTAAAATTTGAGAGAATGACTGTCATTATTGACAAATAGATGTCCTAAAAGGTCTAAAACCTTGCCATTTCTGTGTTCTTTTAATTCTTGCTGCTGCCAATATTATTGCTATAATGTGCCATTTGATTGCTTGTATCAATTAAATTTCTTAATTTAATAATATATTTAATTTTGTATGGGCTTAGAAGTTGAGAGTTGTCTCAGAACTTATATTTATGACATTTATCAATTTTTGCATCAATATGTAATAATCAAACTGAAATACCTATGTAGTTAATCATGTCAATTGATAACATTCCAATGTTTGCCAAATAATTCTCATGAAAGCTTTCCTGAAATGAAACCCGTTTCTACCTGTTGTATCAATGTAATGTTTCCAGAAATAACTGCCATACAAATAAGATCAGGCATTCTGTTATGTAACTTGTTTATGTCCTGACCAGTGTCATGTATATATCGAGAGACACAAAGACCTAACTCCATTTTGAGAAAAAGTTTCACTCACTGAGCACTTGGGCCTTAAGGAGTTAAGTCTACGTTTCACTAGCCATTGACTTCAATGGGGTGTTGGGTGGGGTTAAGTCTTTGTGTTTCCTGGAAAGCCCACATTTTTCTGAACATTTTGATATCAAATACTTTTTAATTGGCAATATGTGGAGATACGTCTTTGTGCCACTGAACCCTCGATATAGTGATGAAGAATAAAACACTGGCAGACAGTCCGACTCACAAACCCAGAAGTGATGCCTCTTGCTGTTAAAAGTTCGAGTAGATACAGTACATAAAAATAAATATTAATTCTACTGTATTATGTTTAAATATAAGCTAGATTTTAAATGCCTTTAGAATATAGACCTGTATTCTAAGTTGGAAAATAATTTTGTTTCACTACAGAAGTGGGAGTTGAGCAAATTTTAATACATGTACTTTGTGTTTCAAAACTATGACTGCTTGAACAATATATCCTTGTTTTCAAAGTTTGTTTGTTTTTTTGTTTTTGTTTGCATTTTAATGATGTACCGATACATAAAAATTTCTGTATGTATCTTCCACCTGTAAAATTACTGGTGTAAATTCACAAAAAGACGTACACTGTACAACTAATGAACTTACAGATAGAAGAAATCACAAGCAAGTACAATGTTTGCTAATGTACAATGATAATAAATGAAATAATAAAATATAATTCTCCACCTCCTCATTATCATCATAATCATAACACCAAAAACAAGACCAACAACAATTTTTGGAGAAAGCAATGGTAACTCACAAAATAAACTGTACACACTATAGAATCATTGTTTTTATCCATATCATTTTATTGAATACTGATTCAATGATACCCATGTACATGTATTTGTCAATAATGTACATGTATAAAGAAAATTGCAGCTAAAAATATGAAAACATCTCCATTTAAATATCCAGAGCAATGTTACACCAAAGGTAAAATGATGATAGGCAAATGTGTCTAACTTTTTTTTAATTATACATTTTTTGTTAATGTACCGGTAACTGAAGGGCAATGAGTGCTGCTGATGTACTCGTAACAAACTCCTCATAATGTACATTTACCTTCATCTCCACTTAAACAAAAACAGCAAGCCAATTTCTATGTAACTAAGTTTATATTTGTGGATTTATTACAAATGTCATCAAAATTTCTTTGTAGAGATATACTACGTTTTCAAGCAAACATATCGACAACGACAAATAATTTTGTTTTAATGATTGTTTTCCTTTAAAATTGTAAACAGTCGTCTTGTGCACAATGACTCTTGACCAAAAAAGGAACAATATATGATGTGCAATACCAACTTCAATTTCCAACTTTGAACAGTTGAACATTATGATTACAGCCAGGAACTGGTCTATTCTGATCTCCAACACCTTCCTTTTCCTCTCCAACAGTGTGTCTTGGTTGACAGCAGCACAATAATAAGATAATGTAATATGGTCAGTCTTATCAGTATCTTCCTCCTCTCTGCTCTATCTGTTGTAAACCCAAGATATGAACCTTCCTCTTCATCCATTGCTGTCACTACCTTCACCCTTATACCTTGCAATCCTCTTTCAAATGTTATTGCAAGATGACATACATGAAGCTGCCAAGCTAATGGACATTTCACGTTTGTCATATCAAGAGCAAGTCATCTACCCTCTTCTCTTCCTAACATTGTGTTCTTCTTCTTTTCTTCTTACAATCTCTTGTCTCATAATAGAGGATTCCAAAACATAAAATTGTCAAATACTCCTTTGTCCTGGCCAACCTCTTTGAGCTCCTTACTTCCTCCCTCAACCATTAGGTTCTCACTCTGCCTGTCTAACTCTGAGGGTGAGCAACCTTTCCATCGGTATTCATGGGTTGACTCATGATTTCTAGGCGGCAGAATTTCCAGGACTACCTGGTACTGGACAATCCTTTCCCCTCTCCACATCATCCCACTGTTCCCACAACTACTGGGCAGTGTCTCATGAAACCGTCATAAGTACAAGTTCACTGACATCCCATTGAAGTGCGTGTATTAAGTTTAACACACGTTTCAATGGGATGTCGGTGAACTTGTACTTATGATGGTTTCATGAAACGCTGCCCAGGGGTCTAACTCTGCTTGTCTATCCCTCAGGATGTGAAGTCTCTTCTGCAGCGTTCAATGATTGCCTGGTCCAAAACAAGCCTTTCTCCTCTTTACCTCATCCCTTAACCCTGGGTATGACTCTGCGTGTCTATCCTTGAGGAACAGATCTAGGTCTCTCGTGCATCACTGAAGGATCACCTTGTCAAAGACGGTTCCTTTCTCCTTCTCACCTCTGCCTCAGAGATACTGAATGAAGATGTGAATTCTCTCCTCCATCACACAAGGATTGCTTGACCAAGACAACCTGTAGCATTGTCTAATATTCTGATTTGTGATTGCCAGGCAGAGGAGTGTTAAGGAATGCCTTAACCTGGACAATCCTTTCTTCTCTTCATCTTCAGCCATTAGGTTCTCACTCCGCCTGTCTTACCCCCAACAATGTAGAACGTTTTCTACATCCTTCAAGTATATCGCACTGTACAAGATCGATCCCTTTCTTCTCCTCACCTTCTCTATCAACCATTGGGATCTAACTCTACTTGTGTGGCCCTGAGGATGTCAAGTCTTTCCTTCCACAGCATTCTCACATTTTCAACATAATCAGTGTTCTCTTCGCAAACTCCATCATCAAGTTTCTGAAAGAAAAAGAAAAAAGAGACAGTTCTAATACTCGAATGGAGAGTTCAATATTGTAAGCAAACTGTAAAAAAAAAACATTCAAGAAGTATATTGTAAATGCATTTATATCAGTTTGTGATAGATTCTACCATCTTACTAAGATACTATGCATTGCCAGTCATTTCATGTTACAGAACATACTTTCTCTTGACGAAGATCCCCCAACAGTAGCTAAATTTTCTAATCTTCATTGGCAAACTTTTTTCTCTCAACTAAAATGGAAAGAAAAAAAATAAATAAATAAAACGAAGGAGAATTCAAAATCATCCCTACTTTAATACATGTAGCTGTACATGCAAAATGCACAACCACAGCTTGAATTTAAAAACAAATACAAAAATAAAGAGATAAAAGTTTATTAAAATAACAAACATTACTTGACAAACAGCAGCAAAGACTATTTAACAATGCCAAAAGTTTGAGAAATTACCTGGAGCATAGAGAGAGTCTGCTCTTGCTCATCAGTGGTGAGCTTATGCAAGGCCATGGAGATCAGATTATTGGTAGCTGGTGAGATGTTATTCTCAGCTATCACCCTCTTCCAAGTCACACTGAGAAAAGATCATGAATAATTCATTAACATATTGAGTATGATGATTGAGATAATATGACTGAGGTCTAAAGAAATTTTGTTTTATATCGATCTGAAATCAATTTGTATTAAAGAGGTTGAGACGTCTGGTCACCTTTTGACAAAAGTTGACAAAAGGAGAGTCAACAGTAAAACAGGCTACAGTAAAATCAATTAATTCAGAGCCCACCAACCCAATTAAGATATTATACCAGTTTATCTGACTCTACATCAATAATTTTGTGTTATCAAATTTTATCCACATGTACATCACAGTGCAATTCCAGAAAAACGTGAATGGTTTGAATGATCTCCGACTCATGACCTAACAAGTCCAATTATCAAGCATTTAATCTCAATGTGATTGCACATGATCATACTCTTGCTAGATTAAAGATGTTCATATAGTAATATATATATATATATATATATATGGGTATATAGTCGTTCGTGAAGTAGGCAACTTGGTAATCACTACATAACACTGAGCCAATGGGTATTACGTTTCCGTGTGTACGTCTGCGTGTTGCCCTCTATATACCAACGCTTGAGCAACTTTAAAGTCCTTGAGTGGTTCTCAAAACATTGATAATCAGAAAGCAAACGCAATTT